AACCTCTTATAAATAGTAATTTTGTTTCGAAACGTCTTATAAATCGTAATGCGATGCGAAATATTTTGTTAGATTTTGCAGAAATCAGAACGGAGAAGAAATTTTATAGAATTTACAAACCAGAGCATTAATTCCTCAACTTAAACATTATTTTTCGACTCATGATGTGCCAAATAGTGTGTGACAACCTAATAGGTTTAGAAAACGCAATGGAAAAAATATAAGAAAAAACACGAAGCAATCAAAAATTACCAATTATTTTAAAGCTTGAAATTTCGTTTTTAATAATTTAATGTTTCTGCTTAATTTTGTTTGTTAATTTTTTGTTTAATTTTCCTTTAATTTGAAAAACGTACACATGAATGTACATATTTATTATGTTTGTTTAATTTTAATAAAGCTAAACACATATGTAAACATGATGTGAAATGTAAGTACCCCGTTTATTCGGCTCTTTCATTTTTGAGCCCCTTTAAATAGAAATCTCGATAAATCGAATTCCCGTCTAATTCGTAAAAAAAGTGATCCCCTTGCCATTTCGAATTATCGGGACTCGACTGTAATTAGACAATAAAGCATAAGTTTGTGTTTTGTAAATAATTTAATTGCATCGCAAAAAGGCTGAGGAATCCCTATTAACCCAACTTTATTTGGACCCTTACGAATTTGAATATACCCTAAAACTTTTCGCTCTAATAATGTTAAAAAAGCAACACTCACTAATACACAAATAATTAATAATAAACTTCCAACTAAAGATAAAATAAATTCTATATAAAACATGTACTATTTGTAATAAAAATTACATAAATAAATTCTAAATTTATTGCACTAATCTGCCAAAATAGTTTATATTAATATTAATAATATTCAATTTATTAAATATAATTATTTTAAAAAGTAATACTTGCTTTCATTTCATTCACATATACATATTATATTTGCAGTTTTACATTCACAGATTTGCATTTTTCCTCTACATCAAACGATCGTATGTATGGCACCTATGTATATGATATAATCGTCCGATTTCCATTAAAGTTGATACAAAATTTAAGACTTATATAAAATGGCAATATCTCAAATTTGATGAAAATGTGTTGTTTTAATTTTTATAATTATAGTTATAGTTATAATTTTTGATTGGATTAATTTCTCGATCGTTCCTATGGGAGCTATATGATATAGTTTTTTATAACATTTTACACAAAATTGTAGAGTATAATAAAATGGCTATATCCTTCATAGACTTGAAAAGTTCTGAACCGTTTAAGCCCAAATTTTTACACAACATGCGTTGAGGTTCCAGCTCGGTTATTGTCTACTTTTAATGTTGATAGCTTATCTGCATTTGCGAATATATAACTTTTTTCGCGTTTCCCCGTGCCCCTACTGCTGCGCCCTCTATTTTATTTTTTGTTCAGGTTCAGTAAGTAAGTAAGTAACGAGGAATCAGCAGAAAGACGAGCAGATAGGCTTGAGAGAAAACGATTGAGAGTTAGGCAGTCGCGTTCTGCAGCAATCGATTTGATTCACTCTCAAAATAATGAACGCGACAGGGCAAGGGTAGCTGAAGCGCGTTTACAGCTTGCAGAAGATCAAAACCTGCAATACAATCGTCTTGCATTCAGATATAATCCAACTATTGATTACAGCTAGAATCGAATGTCGTTATTGGACGAATGCATCAGGTCTGCATATACCGTCAGGCTCTCAAATTCAAAAACGAACCAAAAGGATTGTGGTGCGCTTCCGGGAATGTGGAATTGCCTCAACTTGAAGCACCACTGCAGAATCGAAGCATTTCCTGTCGAACATTAGGAAATACAACTCTTGCTTTCAAATGACGCCATTTGGTGCGGAAATTATAAATGCACAATTCATGCCAACTTTTAAAACCAAAGAACAAATCTATCATAAAGCCGGTTCCCTGCTTCCGTTCCCAGACAGCGAACACAAATTTCTTGTTCTTGGTGATGATGGAAATGAAGTAGATGCACGTTATGGAATCAATACCTAAATACGCTGAAGAGGCACATTATTTCGCAGCTACAGAAGCTTTTTGATTTACAATTTCATTAGCTGAAACTAAACGGACTCCTTTTGATTTTGCTGAAGGAGAATCAGAATTAGTTTCTGGATTTAATGTTGAATATAGAGAAGGAGGTTTTGCTTTAATTTTTATAGCTGAATATGCAAGAATTTTATTTATAAGAATGTTATTTTGTGTAATTTTTTAAGGTTGTGATGTATTTAATTTATTATTTTATGTAAAACTAGCTGTACCCTGCCACGTTTCTCTGTGGCATATTATGGTTAAGAGGGCACTTCTGAATACATCAAGGTTCTGGCAAAATCATCTTTCTGGCATAAGGTGAAGAAGGCAGTCAGAGTTGTCGCTGGCGGATTCAGGACTCTTTCTTGCACATTTCTTGCTGTGAAATAGACACGTTGACCATTCTCCAAATGGACTGCCAAGCGAACTAAATCTGGATAGCGTTCATGAAAAAAAAGCAGCCTCGTTGCTGCTTATGTATCTTCCAGCCTGGTATTGAGATATTTCATCGACAACTCGTACTGCATTGTTGTCACCATTTTCTGCCTGAACACCAAAAACTGCCATATCGCTGCCTTTATTCACGTACTTGCAGATATATTTAATCGATTTCACGGAATTGCAATACTCTACGTTGATGTGCGCTTTGTATGATTTTGACAATAGTGGTGAGTATGGAACCACCCAACGATTGTCTACCTCAATATCACCAATTCTCATGTTTAAAGTTGGCGAAGTTCCTCCATCTTCAGTTGACCGTCTCCTATACAGAGGATATCCATCGTCCCCTGTTACGGTGTTGGCTGTAAATGCTCGAGGATATCGCTTGGAACACTTCCCGTCTACCATTCATGGTGAACATGGGTTGAGGGTACCACAAGGGCCATGGATCATGTTCTTGATGACAACTTCATGCAAATCCGTATCAACCTCGGCCCGTGGAATCTCAGCGCATATAACATCGTCGATTTCGTCTGGAGTAATTTTATCATACAGCCAAATCAGTATGTGCGCATGCGGCAATCCTCTCTTCTGCCATTCTACTGAATACATCCAGCCCTGCACAGATCCAAAAACTCCATGTTTCACAATGAAATCCATCAGTGACTTGAGCTTTTGTCTGAAAACACGGGATGTGATGTCATGCCTATCAATATACGATTGTCCAGGAAATAACAGCTGCACTATCTCGTCCCAAGCTGGATTGCATGTGAAGGAGATAAATATGTCTGGACGGCCGTAGCAACGAACATATGCCTGGGCATCTTGAGCATATTCATGCATTTGGCGTGGACTACCTATGTATGAGGATGGCAAAATCGTGAGCTTTCCAACGTTGGTTGTATTACGGTCATTCATCACAGCATCCCGCAAAAGGATATATTCCTCGGACCGAAGTTTCTTCTGATTCAATCGGAGGAACAGCAAACGTTGTTTCAATTTTTGCATACATATCGACAATGTACTGATGAAACAACTGACGACATTTCAATATATGATTGCAATCGGTCCTCCGAACCATTAACCTGTATGAGTAAAAGTTCATCGCGCAGCCGCGTCTCTCGTCATATTCGTAATCTTACGTCTTTTTGCTTCTGTATTGCGAATACGACGACCCAATCTCGACTTCTTTGGTGGCATGACTTCGTTTCTTACTGAACCTGAACAAAAAAATAAAATTTGTATCTCCAATTTCTTCTTTCAATATGTTTTGAATGTTTGACAGGAAATGCTTTGATTCAGCTGGCTACCTGTAGAGGACGCAGCAGTAGGGGCACGGGGAAACGCGAAAAAAAATTGATATATTCGCAACCGCAGATAAGCTATCAACATCAAAAGTAGACAATAACCGAGCTGGAACCTCAACGCATGTTGTGTAAAAATTTGGGCTTAAACGGTTCAGAACTTTTCAAGTCTATGAAGGATGTAGACACGAACAGAGCATTTTTATATATATAGATTAAAGAAGATATACATATTTTAGTAAAAAAACTATAAAGTATTCACCTTTAGATATTATACTTACAGTCTTACATTCAAAGTTTAGCATTTTCCTCTATATCTAACGATCGTTTGTATGGCAGTTATATGATATAGTCGTCCGATTTTCATAAAATCAAAATTCTAGAATTATGTAAAAGGGCTATATCTAAAATTTGATGAAAATCTGTTGAAAACTGAACAATTTATAATTGTTTGTGTTTCTATGGCAGCTAAATGATGTAGTAATCCGATTTTCATAAAATTTTACGCGAAATTGGAAAATAATATAAAATAGCTATATCTAAAATTTTATGAAAATCTGTTAAAAACTGAAAAAGTTGTAATTTTTTATGGTATTAATTTATTGATCGTTTGTAATGCACCTATATGATAAAGTCGTCCGATTTTCATAAAATCTTACACAAAATTATAAATTTCATAATTCTGTTAAAAAAAGAATGTCCATTCCGTTCCGACATATTACGAGTGAGAGTATATAGAATACAAACTACAATTCATTCAGATAGTCTCAAAACTGAGACTTGTTTGCGTAGAAACGGACAGACGGACATGGCTAGATCGACTCGGCTGTTGATCCTGATCAAGAATATATGTATAAACTTTATATGATCGGAGGTGCCTCCTTCACCGCGTTGCAAACTCCTGACTGAAATTATAATACCCTGCAAGGGCCCAAAATCGATCTAAGAACCAATTATAGTGCTAATTCAGAGCCATAAGTTTAATATTTTGTAAAATTAAATTAAAGTCGTTTTTTTTTTAGATTGAAGGCGTACGAATATCGCATTCGACATCATCGAATTACCCATATGTATATTTATACAACTTCGGGGAGTTGAAGTTAGCTTACATTCTTTTTTAAAAATTCTACCCTTAAAATTTTTACAAGTAAACGACACTGATTAAGATATTATTAATTTCATAATGTGCATATATGTATATTAATAATGTTTATAAACATAAGATATATGTAAATTAATGATTGTGATGTCTCATCAAGTAACGGCTTTATACGTCATTCCATTAGTTTACAACTTTCCCACTTCATGCAGGTAGGCTCCAAGTAGTTTTGTCTAAAGGAAAAAAGAGTTATTAAGACGCAAATCTACGCAGTTTTATTTTTTTCTCCTTACGCCTTCAATGTAATTGTAAATATCAATTTTTTCATTTTGGGAATGGGCACCATCATCACAAGCTCCCACTGGCACAAGAATAACATTTTTACCAGTGGCTTCCTGCAATGTTAGAGTTACTGGAATAGAGCCGCCCTCGCGGGTCATGTCCGGCTCTACATTAAAAACATGCTTAATAGCCCGCTTCGCTGCCTCATAATGTGGATGATTTGGGTCCTCAGTCCACGGCTTTCCAGCGGAAAGCATAACAACCTTTAGGTAAAAACATTTTAATCGAATGAAAGCTTAAATCAGAAACTGTAAACTTAAACAAACCTTCATTTTGTTGGGGGAGCCACGTTCTGCCCATTTATCATTTAGGTATTTAACGACGCATTCCTCAATGTGTTTTGGGTCCTGGTCCGGTACAAGGCGAATAGAGAACTTACCAATAACTTTTTTTGGTATAACGGTCTTTGCACCTGGCTCATAAAAAGCGCCTTCAATGCCATGGATAGATAGGCTGGGATATCGCCACCTGGCCTGAAGCAGCCTTATTTTTTCACTATTATGAGGCAACTCGTCAACACCAATGTCTTTTCTAAATCAAGTATACAGCGATTAGAGAGATTTATAACGTCTATTTGAAGATAAGATGAACTAACTTGTACTCATTGACTTCAAAATCTATGTTCTCGTAAATTGACTGCTCGTTTATTAGTAGAGGTGCCACCTTCATAAATTTAATTTAATTTTTTAAGCAAAAAAATTTTGAATTACCTTAGTAAACTACTTACGTCGCGATCTAATCCAGGTACCAGAATTTTAGTGTCCTTGTCAACAAGAATGCTGAGCAAGTGACACAGATCTGGCATGGCCTCATGAACAGTGCCTCCAAAAACTCCACTGTGCAAGTCTTTGTTTGAGCATTCCACCTCCACTTGGAAGTATGCAAGTCCGCGGAGTCCATATGTTAAACAGGGACGCTTTTTTCCCAGCCAGTAGTTGTCAGAAATACATACGTAATCGACGTCGGATAGGAAACCGTTCTTGCGCTCCATCAACAGGTCGTCCAGACCTTCGCTTCCGCTTTCTTCCATTCCTTCGAAAACGAATTTTACATTGACAGGCAGTGGGATGTTAAGCTTTTGGTAAGCCTCAATTGCATGTATCCAGCATAGTACAGGCCCCTTATCGTCTGATGCACCGCGTCCAAACAACTTTCCTTCGATCTCTGTGAGTACGAAAGGGTCAGTATTCCAGCCATCTTCCTTTAGAGCAGGCTGCACATCCAAGTGACCATAGACTAGCACCGTCTTTTTTGAGGTATCCTTGCCAAGAGTTCCCAGCAGCACCTTAGGCAATGGGATTATCTCGCCGTTTTGCAGAGTCTGCTTGCCCACATCCGCCAGTTCTATCTCGGTGCCCAGAACCCTCAGCCTGTCTGCGGTCCAGTCGACCATGCGATCAATCTCACCGCGCTTATCGGGCCAAGCCGAAACTGACTGTATGCCGACAACAGTTTTCAGGGCGTCTATGTAATCGCCTTTTTTTCCATCGACGAAACTGAAAATGCGATTGCGGTTATTACCCTTACAGTCAGAGACCCTAATTGGAAGATATTTGTTGGATCATGTATGTATGCGGTTTGCCTTCTTTTCTGTGTTATACCGATAGACATGTACATGCATATGTAAAAACAACTACATTCGTTTACATTTGTATGTCATGTATATGAATAACGAAAATCCATGATAAAATGCAGATAATGTACTCAAGAATTAAGATGTACAGTCGGTGCACGTCGTATACTTTTGATAATGCAAGACAAACATAATAAACACTTATATCTTTATAAGCGTTATCAGCTTAAAAATGGCTGCTGGTAGAAAACACTTTTGCGAATTTGTGGGTGGATTTATATGAGAATATGGACAAACATATTAAGCTTAACCACTTACGAAAAGAACTGCCGGAGTTCAGCGGGAAGAGTGGCCATCGTGTTGGTCCGTTTCTTGATCAGTTTAACAGTTTAACTGTGATCCAGCACAGTTTTATTAGTATAATCGTTGTATCCAGGCGGACCGCACTTAAATATATCCGCTAGACGCTGTGTGACCGTGGCATCTCCAACAAAATAATCCACAGTTTAGTATTAAAAAAAGAAGAACCCATTTGAGATATTCACATTACATCTATAATATAAAGCTGTCAGTATTTTCGTCATTGATGTGTAAACGATAACACTGGACGGTATTATTGGTTGGGTTCCGCAGAACAACATGATCACTAATCAGTGATGGATTTCTATCGCCTGTTCTGCTAAAACACGTATGATCACTGATTATGATGCAAGACTTCCTCCATCATGATCAGCAAAAAGGAGCGTAAAAACGCGCTACCTTTTCGCTATACTGATGAACTATGTCGAAGATTAAAATATCGATACGGACATAAAATATGCATGCAAACTAGGGGAAATTAGCCGCATTCTTGGTAATTCTTTAATATTTAGAAATTATTTATTGTATACTAGCTGTACCCTGCCACGTTTCTCTGTGGCATATTGTGGTTAAGAGGGCACTTCTGAATACATCAATGTTCCGGCAAAATCATCTTCCTGGCATAAGGTGAAGAAGGCAGTCAGAGTTGTCGCTGGCGGATTCAGGACTCTTTCTTGCACATTTCTTTCTGTGAAATAGATACGTTGACCATTCTCCAAATGGACTGCCAAGTGAACTAAAGCTGGATAGCGTTCATGAATGGGGAACGAACAAATTCTCCATGCAACCTCGTTGCTGCTTTTGTATCTTCCAGCCTGGTATTGAGATATTTCATCGACAACTCGTACTGCATTGCTGTCCCCATTTTCTGCCTGAACACCAAAAACTGCCATATCGCTGCCTTTATTCACGTACTTGCAGATATATTTAATCGATTTCACGGAATTGCAATATTCTACGTTGATGTGCGCTTTGTATGATTTTGACAATAGTGTTGAGTATGGAACCACCCAACGATTGTCTACCTCAATATCACCAATTCTCATGTTTAAAGTTGCCGAAGTCCCTCCATCTTCAGTTGACCGTCTCCTATACAGAGGATATCCATCGTCCCCTGTTACGGTGTTGGCTGTAAATGCTCGAGGATATCGCTTGGAACACTTCCCGTCTACCATGCATGGTGAACTTCGGTTGAGGGTACCACATGGGCCATGGATCATGTTCTTGATGACAACTGCATGCAAATCTGTATCAACCTCTGCCCGTAGAATCTCAGCGCATATCACATTGTCAATTTCGTCTGGAGTAATTTTATCATACAGCTAAATCAGTATGTGCGCATGCGGCAATCCTCTCTTCTGACATTCTACTGAATACATCCAGCACCGCTCAGATCCCAAAACTCCATGTTTCACAATGAAATCCATCAGTGACTTGAGCTTTTGTCTAAAAACACGGGCTGTGATGTCATGCCTATCCCTATATGATTGTCCAGGAAATAACAGCTGAACTATCTCGTCCCAAGCTGGATTGCATGTGAAGGTGATAAATAAGTCTGGACGGCCGTAGCAACGAACATATGCCTGGGCATCTTGAGCATATTCATGCATGTGGCTCGGACTACCTATGTATGAGGATGGCAAAATCGTGAGCTTTCCAACGTTGGTTGTATTACGGTCATTCATCACAGCATCCCGCAAATGTATATATTCCTCGGACCGAAGTTTCTTCTGATTCAATCGGAGGAACAGCTAACGTTGTTTCAATTTTTGCATACATATCGACAATGTACTGATGAAACAACTGACGACATTTCAATATATGATTGCAATCGGTCCTCCGAACCATTAACCTGTATGAGTAAAAGTTCATCGCGCAGCCGCGTCTCTCGGATGGAGGCCCGTTCTTCGTCAGTCATATTCGCAATCTTACGTCTTTTTGCTTCTGTATTGCGAATACGACGACCCAATCTCGACTTCTTTGGTGGCATGACTTCGTTTCTTACTGAACCTGAACAAAAAATAAAATTTGTATCTCCAATTTCTTCTTTCAATATGTTTTTAATGTTTGACAGGAAATGCATTGATTTGCTTGTAGAGGGCGCAGTAGTAGGGGCACGGGGAAACGCTAAAAAATAGATATATTCGCAACCGCAGATAAGCTATCAACATCAAAAGTAGTCAATAACCGAGCTGGAACCTCAACGCATCTTCTCTAAAAATTTGGGCATAAACGGTTCAGAACTTTTCAAGTTTCTTCTTTCAATATGTTTTGAATGTTTGACAGGAAATGCTTTGATTCAGCTGGCTGCCTGTAAATGGCGCAGCAGTAGGGGCACTTGGAAACGCTAAAAAAATAGATATATTCGCCACCGCAGATAAGCTATCAACATCAAAAGTAGTCAATAACCGAGCTGGAACCTCAACGCATGTTGTGTAAAAATTTGGGCTTAAACGGTTCAGAACTTTTCGAGTCTATGAAGGATGTAGACACGAACAGAGCATTTTTATATATATAGATTATTCTATTTATTAAGTTTTCTGTAGGCATAATATAATGTAATTACGGAAATGAGCGAAATAGGGCAACCCGCCTTTTAAAGAATAGGAGCCAGATTAACTAACATATTTTATATATTTTATGAGCTGTCTGGTCCAAAACTATTCCTTGTAAAATTTAAAGAATATTTGAGGAAGTACCTAGCAAAATCAAATGAGTATTGGCGGGAAGTCGAACGATAGGTTTCAACCGGTTATTTTTACGACGGCGTAATGTATCATGAGCGTTCAGCAGAACACACTTTAAATACGTGATGCAAAGTTTTATATACTTTTGTTGTATACACATATTGGATGTTTGCGTTAATTTTAATATGGCATTGGAAGTTAAAAGCTTCTTACTACAGATATCCATGTACAATTCATAAATTTCTATTTGTTTTATTCACACTTTAACCTGGTAGTAACATTTTGGCTAGACCTAAGAAGCAGTTTCGTTGAGAGACGGAAAAATAACATTTTTGAGAAGCATTTTCTCTCGCAAAAGTTCTGTTTCTATACTTAACTCATTAACTGAAAGCGGAATCAGAACTCAATAGCACTGTTTTTATTTCATAAGAAAGCATTCAAGAATCTCCATTTTATCTGTCGTAACCTTAGATGTTTCTATTTTCCAATAGTCAAAATAGTAAATTATTCATTTTGACCAACCAACCGATATTTATACTCTAAAATAAAACTGTAAAAAAATACGCGATCGGATGGTAGATGATGCTATGCGGGAATATGAGATTCACATCTGGCATAAATACTAACTTTTTCAACTGGTGCACTCTTAGAGTCCTCGTCGAAATTCTCCTGTATTAATGTATTATGTGGAAACCATTAAATTAATTTGTTCTTAGTCCTTAAAGAATTTTTAAATTTTAGTTTTAAACAAGAAAGGAAGCTAACTTCGGCACGCCGAAGTTTATATACCCTTGCAGATAGAACTTCGATGACTTGGAATCCATACAATATAAATTATATATATTTATGTTTAAAAACAATGAAGTAATACCTGCTTTCATTTCATTCACGTATACATATTATATTTGCAGTTTTACATTCACAGATTTGCATTTTTCCTCTACATCTAACGATCGTTTGTATGGCACCTATATGATATAGTCGTCCGATTTTAATGAAATTTGACACAAAATTTAAGACTAATACAAAATGGCTATACCTCAAATTTGATGGAAATCAGTTGAAAACTGAAAATGTTATAAATTTAATTGAATTTATTTCTCGATCGTTCCATTAGGAACTATATGATATTGTAGTCCGATTTTCATTAAAATTGTAAATTGTAAATTGTAGTTTAATAAAATGGCTATATCTCAAATTTGATCAAATTCTGTTGAAAACTGAAAATGTTACAATTTTTTTTGTAAAAATTATCCGATCATTCCTATAGCAGCTATATGATATAGTCGTCCGATCTGGCCCGTTCCGACATATATACGAGTGTGAGTATATAGAAGGCTAAATACAAAGTTTCATTCAGATAGCTTCAAAACTGAGAGACTAGTTTGCGTAGAAACGGACAGACGGACAGACGGACAGAAGGACAGACGGACAGACGGACATGGCTAGATCGACTCGACTGTTGATCCTGATCAAGAATATATATTCTTTATATGGTCGGAGGTGCTTCCATCACTGCGTTGCAAACTTCTGACTGAAATTGAATACAGAATTAAAAAGTTCATTTATTTTTTTGGCTCTATCATCTTGGTCATTATCTTCTGGAAAGCTCGTTGATTCCTAGTCCATTTAATAATATTCTTCTATTCTTTTTCTGAAGACTATCTTCAGGCAAAGCAGCTTCGGCGCATGCAAAAGATCTATTTGAAGATAAGTATCAGTCATAAGGTACTTGGGGTGATCTACAAGTTGTCTGGTTTGTCGACGGGTAGTGGTCAGCATACTTTACGGCCAACTCGATGAAAAACATAAATTCATTATATGTATAGCCTTACACATATATAATTTTGAATAATATAATTATTACATATTTATATCCACTGTAAGATATTTTCATATATATATTTTTTAATTTCGATATTATTTTTATTAAAATCGACATTGGAGAATGAGGAGAAGGCTGTACTGGCTTCTTAAGGAAAACAATCACCTGAGGCATGCAAATAAGGTCCGTATATGAAAATACATCCTTGGCCTCCATTTGGAGAATCAAGTCTATAGTATTGCGGCCAAAACTAATCTGAGTCGGATTCTTGACAGGAGACTTACATCTCGACGGGCTCGGCGAAGACTCAAGGGGATTCAAACCACAGACCTTCAAAGTCAAGGACGATTTATTCAAATCTATAGTAATGCGACCAAAACTAATCTGAGTCGCATACGGGTCTTCCAAAATAAGATCCTGCGGAGAGTTACTGGTGATGAGTGATTGATTCATAACTATGACTTAGGGACCTGAAAGTTCCTCTGGCTGCAGATATTATAAATGAACAACTCATAAACTATATAAATAAGATCACGACACAAGCAAATATCCTTGTCAGGAGACTTTCACCTCGACGGGCTCGGCGATGACTTAAGAGGATTCACTCCACAGACATTCCAAAGAGGAAGATTTATTTAACGACATTTCTTACACCTATTGAACGCATTTTTAAACATAACACTTTTGTAAATTAACATTGAACTCCTTCCCACGCTATTGTTCAAGTTTCAACAATACAGTAAAACATACAATAATAAGTGATAAAATGAATATCGAACGAGTCATAGTAATGATTTTCAGATAATGAGGTCTAATGTATATATATATATCGGAATGGTCGAAGTTAACAACTTCGGAGTCAAGAAGTTAGAATCTTTTATTCTTCTTATTAGTTAAAATTACTTTGCTGATCAAACCAAAAGTTGAACTACAACAGTTTTTTACCTGCTTCCATCAAACTTATTCTGATTTGGTGCGACGTATGACAAAAAGTGGACAAACTACTTTACATATGTATGGAATACCCTTATTGTTTTTTTCATGGTATTTTTACTGTGTATTTTTATATTTTAAATGCCTTTTTTTAGTTATAGTTCTGAGGGCTTTGCGGTATATTTTATCTTTGGGTTCATTATCATACTATTTTTTGCGTCCTTATATTTTGTAATGAAAATACAGATTAATCTTCCATGTTAAAAACAAACGAGTTTTTTAACTAGGAGGAAGACTCAAATGTTGAAAACATTACCACTAGTCACGTAGTATTCATTTATTTGATCTTGATTGGCTTTGTTACTTTTAACACAACGACGGCAACAACATGGCTTCCGCGTCTGATATTGAAAAAACATTGGTTGCAAACATTGGAAACTTTGAAAAGATTCAAAATTTTCTCAACGACAAAGAAAAGTACAAGGAAGTGTTAGAAAATAGCGAAAACTTCAATACTCGTTTATGCATTGAAAGACGTCTTCGTATGCCCTTTCTGGACCCCCAGACTGGTGTTGCACAGACCCATTGTGCTCTCTTCATGAAAAAAAAGCAACGTATGCCAGGATTTCGTCATGGACAGATATACACCTACCCATCATCACGTTGGCGCAAGCCTAAGCGTCAGTATTTACTTAACCCGAATCAAAGCTACCGTGCTTATCAGTACCGCGAACACCATCTTCAACACTCCCACCATCAACCACATCCGCATCATCACCACCATACACCAGCGGTTGGGGCTGCAGTGGCACGTGATATCCATCAGATTGAGAGTCCAGGTAACAAACTGTGTGCGTTTTAAAATCAATACTCCCTTTTCGGCAATACAAAAACCGGAAATTCTTTTTTAACGTTAAATACAATATTATGATGAATTAATGGTTTGATGGATTGCTTCTAAAGGTGCATTTCGAAACACTCGTCAAAAAATATTAAAAAAAGGAAATTGAGTAAAGTTATACATAATAATAAACATTGATTTATATTTTTACAGCTATTGTTGCTGCTGATGGTAATTCCATGGGAGCATCAGGAGATAACGACAGCAAAGACTCTCATGCAAACGCCGAGAAGGAGTGGTTTCATGAAGACTTGGAGTCATCGCATTATCATCATGGTGATGACTTTGAGGACGATTTTGATTCAGATAACGACTTTGACGAGTCATACACTAGTCGGGGCAAACGGAAACGAGGATCTCGCCCTCGACGGTCCAATGCCATTGCAGAGGGCACACCAAAACGTGGTCGCAAAGGTGGTGGTAAGTAAAACCAAAGACAATAGAATTACCTAGTTGAGCAACGGGCATACATTCGTTTTGCAATATGGGGCTATTTTTTGATTGCAACGACAATCACGCTTGAGTATGAGTAAACACAAAACAAGCATGTGCGTATGTAAAATACACTCCTGTTTATAATTATACGACACCTATAAAGTTTTTGTTTCAGCGGTCGTAGGAGAATGGAAACACACAGTAGATCAAAATAAAGTATGCCGAATAATAGCACAAAGAGTTGTGCACAAAATGCGCTATTCTTATCCTTGTTTGCATCACTCGTTTTCAAGTAACGGTAAAAAAGGAAACGCGCCTTGATTTAGGCTACGCTGCAATTGTTTCAAAATGATACGACACATTTCATTTATTGCGACTAAGAGGAAGGTTTTGTGCTGATTAGTGTTTTTATAATTTTTTTAAAATATTTTATACATTTTTAACAAAATTCCGCATGGTAGCTTATTAAGCGAAGGAGAGAAGGGAAAAATTAAGGCGTATAACGAGTCTGGCTTTAATGTTAGCCAAATATCCCGGCTGATGGGTCGAACACCCTGTGTTATTACCAAATGTTTGAAAAATGTGGATGGGTATGGTGTCAGGCGTAGCTCTGGAAGAAAGCCGAAGCTATCTGATCGCGACAAACGTCGAGTACTTAACAATCCAAGCAATTCTTTTTCATCCTGTGCCTCACTTGCTGCGTGTTGCAGTCGTCCTGTGTCCCGTAGGACTATCTGACTAACATTACTAAGCTCCGAAAATATTGTAAGAGTAGTTTTGAAAAAAACTCCGATATTAAAACCGCAGCACAAAAGAGCACGACTTCAGTTTTCCGAAAACAATTTAGAAACAAACTGGGTCTCGGTATGGAATTTTAACTTAATGTTGGTTATAAAGGTTGTTATCAATATTTCACATTTAGATCATTTTTTCTGATGAGAAATAATTTTATCTTGATGGCTCAGATGGGTTTCGTCCCTATTGGCTTGATTTGGGTAAGAATCCCCTTATGTTCCTAACATGCAACATGCGGATCAGTTATGGCTTGGGGAGCCTTTCATTCGTCTGGTACGCTTGAATTGTGCTTTACAAGCTCAAAAATTAAAAGTGCAGACTATAAAAAAGATCGTCTTCTGCCATTTTCGGATCAAAATAAGGACCAAAATTTTGTTTTTATGCAGGATAATGAGTCCAAACATAAAAGCAAAGAGACGCAACGGTTCCTCAATGACAATAAAATAAATGTTTTGGATTGGCCGGCTTGCTCTCCTAACCTTAACCCGATTGAAAACATCTTGGGTATCTTAGCCAGGCGAGTTTACGCCAACAACAACAAATTTCAGACTGTTAAAAGTCTCAAAAATGAAATTTTAAGACAATGGTCTCTCTTGGACCAAAATATCTTAAAAAACCTTATAAATTCAATGCCTAAAAGAATTTTTGAAGTGGGAAAAGCACAAGGTGCCGTTATTAACTTTTAATATTAATTTATTAACAATTAAACAAATAAAATATTAGCTGTAAACAAAAATAATGAAATGTGTCGTATCATTTTGAAACAATTGCAGCGTAGCCTAAATCAAGGCGCGTTTCCTTTTTTTTTACCGTTACTTGAAAACGAGTGATGCAAACAAGGATAAGAATAGCGCATTTTGTGCACAACTCTTTGTACTATTATTCGGCATACTTTATTTTGATCTACTGTGTGTTTCCATTCTCCTACAACCGCTGAAACAAAAACTTTATAGGTATCGTATAATTATGAACAGGAGTGTAGTTGTCTTTGCACATTTTTCACAAGTTCAGCATCAATAGCCGATCCGATCTAGCCGATTATGCGGAAAATGCTAAGTAACCATTTTTTTATAGATGAGTACTGATTACTGCTCTTTAAAATTGGTAGCAGCCAAATACTTGTCTAAACAAGCCTCGTCATGCGAAGCGGAAAGAGTGTTCAGCAAAGCTGGACAAACCATTAGTGACCGCAGGACAAGGCTCTGTGAACAAGCTTTTATTTAACAATAAGAATTCACATTTCAATAATACTATTGATAGTCCTGATATCACAGATCTCGAATAAAATCTAGTTATATTGTTAAATTCCATTTTTTTAGAAACATCGATGTTTCACTCGATGTTTTTTTTTTAAACATCGAAAACATCTATTGACTCACACATCGATGTTTCTCCATCCCTACTGTCCGTTTCTACGCAAACTAGTCTCAGTTTTGAAGCTTAATGGAACTGCAGTTTGTCTTCTATATACTCGTATATATATATATGTATGTCGGAACGCGCCGCCTATATAATATAGCTGCCATTCAAACTATCGGAAAATTTGTACAAAAAAATAATAACTTTTTCAGTTTTCAACAGAATTTGATCAAATTTGAAATATAGCCATTTTACATTATTCTACAATTTTGTGTAAAATTTTCGATCGAGAAATTAATCAATTTAAAAATTAAAATTTTTTCAGTTTTCAACAGACTTTCTTCAAATATATAGCCCTTCTCAATTATTTTAGAATATCGATTTGAATTTTATGAAAACCTGATGACTTAATTATATAACTGCCATACAAACGCTCGTTAAAAATAGAGGAAAATGAAACTGTGAATGTCAAACTGTAAATATAAAATGTAAGGGGTATATAAACTTCGACGTGCCGAAGTTAGCTTTCTTTAACCTATACATGTAATATTTACAGTTTGACATTCAAAGTATTGCATTTTCTTCTATTTTTAACGATCGTTTGTATGGCAGCTATATAATAAAGTAGGCCGATTTTTATAACATTTAACACAAATTGTAGAAAAACGTAAAATGGCTATATTTCAAATTTGATAAAAAGATATTCTTAAAATTGTAGCAGTCCAGTTAGCTTTAGTATACTCTGGTCACTTTTATTGAGAGGTTAGGCTCTTATGATTGATCAGGAGAGAGGGACTCACTTGCAAACCGGGGGTTGTTTTAGTGGTAACGGAGAGCAGCGGATCATTTGGTGATAGAAACTGAACAAGACAAAAAGTCTAAAGACAAGAGCGAAGAAAAGACAAAACCAAGTATAAAAAGTTCTAAATTAAATAATACAGAAAATATTAATAAGAGAAGAAAAGAATAAGAAGTGTTTAAAACTAAAAGGCGGCCACAAACATCAGAAGTGGGAATCAGAAACAAATTTGTTTCCCTTCAAATGGGAAACTAAAGCAAAGTAATGGATTTGAACATAGCCGATATAACGGTGGTGCAGTTGAAAAGGTGGTTGGAGCTGTTGAACTTGCCTACGAAGGGCACAAGAGTGGAGCTATTCGCTAGCGTAGCTAAGGTGCCTATAGAAATTAGAGATATTGTTCCGGAAGATTGTGTTGAAATGGAACAGCTAGGTTTGCCTTCGGGTGTAGCGGAGGGAGGTGACACGGACGAGGAAAGCGATGATGAGCTGGAGATCGGAAAGGAAACTCTTGGAGAATTGCGCTAGAACATTGTCAAGACGAGAAAAATTCAGGCAAATTTGAATCGCCAAATCGGTGCGCACGTCGGCAGCAACCAGAGCAAAGACGACGGCGAGAATGGAAAAAACGAAAATGCTCGACTTCGGTATGGTTCTGAGAATGCAGGACGGCAAGGCAACAACAGTTTCGAGAATATCGAACAGCAATTCAACAGAAGCTTCCAGAACACACAACATGGAGACGACGGCAGAGACAACGGTTTTGAAAATGTATGGCAGCGAGAGTTTCGCATCACCTGGTTTTAACATGGCACTATGGTCCAGAAGTCAATTTTTTTTGGCATGAATTCAAAAAATAGAGTTACAGACCTAAAACTTTGCACATTATGATTTTTCAGAAAGACAATAATAAAAAAAAAACTTGAGTCTGTGAGACCACGCCCTCTATTGCCTCCCATACAAACCGATTCGTAGTATTATAATTAGAAATTGAGTATGAAGCTGAATTCAGACAATATACTTACATTTATATATATACATATGTATATGTTATGTATGGGTTTTGTCTTAAACATTATATTCTTCTTCTAGTATTATTGAGCTGCCTTCGTTTAAGTCGTCATCCGAATCACAATCAGATTGCAATTCCTTTTCAAATGGGATGTTGTTCTCGCTTGACGGCAGCTCCAGAAGGCTTAATACTTTGGGAATTGCTTTTTTTGTGTTTTTTCGTTCTCTTTCCCTTAAACAGACACTAGATAGTAACGGACCCGAGGAATCGATCGCCCTGTGGAAAGTGTCAGTCATAGTATAGTTTCGGCTATTTTTCCTTGCGTGTGAGAGTCGGTCTTTTTTTAGATTTTATTGCGGGCTTCTGAAGCATTTTCGCCTAAGCATCCTAGTGGAACTAACTTTGAATTATTTATTTAAAAACCGTGGACTAATATTTTGTGAATCGTTGGTGACATGGGGTACCACGGGTATTTATGCATATATAGGAAAAAAGTTATCTCACAAAAAGTTCGAAATTTTTCAGAGTTTATATAAAAGTTACATGAAACTGCTATTAATATAACGTGAAAATTATTTAAAAGGGTTTTGTCAAAGCCGGTTATGGATGATAGTTGTTCAATATTTGCAAAAGCTCTTCTTGCTGTATTACCGTCATTGCTGTTCCCGCTACCATTTTGCTTTGGCACGCTTACTCGTAGACCCATATCATTCCACATTTTTTCCTGAAAACGTTCGACCATATAGTTGCATTTTGGTAGACCTTATTTTAATAATTGATTCAAAATAACTTGTTTTTCTTTATTGATTTCTAATTTTTTATCATCTTCGACGTGGTAATGGCTCATTTTCTCATAAATGCAATCTAACACAGATGATATTTTGCGATTATTGCTGACCCAAATATCGAAGAGATCGCTGTCGCGAAATTCGAACGTCGCTAAATATTGCGGAATTGCGTGAAAAGGGGGACGAACGGGGAAAAGTTGTTAATTACCGATAAAGAGCGACATATTTTAGT